AAACGCACCGTACGTGATGTTCGGGGTGGCGGTTGTGACGAGGTTTGTTGCCAAAAAAGATTCTCCCTGTCTCCATCCGAGGAATCAGCTGCTAGTGTAGCTTGGGTATCCTCGATTTGGTATTCAGACGATGGACCGAGCAGGAGCGTCGTGTAGGGTTGCTGTGCACTTCGGACCTTTAGCAGCGACATTGGAGATAGTTGCTTACAGGGTCGAGCTGTACGCAGCTGACTGCTTGTTGTTCGAGCCGTGGATAGATACGACGCAGGGCTGCGAAAGCGTGAGAAATGCAGTCGGCCTGGTTCAGGGAAGCGATCCCAACGTGAAGTTTTTTCTGGCCCTCTTTGGGTTGCACTTTTCCAGAAAGTTCCACTTGGTGTCAGCGACAACGAGCTGTCGGTGCCAGTAGCACCACGACTTTTTGGAGTACCACTAGTCGTCGAAAAACGTTTAAAACGCGAGCTTCTCGGCAGTGGCTTTGCCGTCGTTTGCTGCCATACAATAAGTTTGCGACGTGCTCGAGCTGATGCTGTCGACGATCCTGGTTCGTTGTTAAACGCATCTCCGGTCACGAGACTGTGCTTGGGAGCAGCTCGGGAATACCACTTCATAGTAGATCCTTGCAAAGTCGGACTGCGAAAGCGTGAGAAGCGTGATCGGCCTGGTTCCGACACCATCCTCTGGCGCTCAGTGAAGCGATCCCAGCGTGAAGTTCTTTCTGGTGCTGTTTGTGTTGTGGTTTTCCAGAAAGTTCCACTTGGTGTCAGCGACAATGAGCTGTTGGTGCGAGTCATGTCACGGCTTCTTGGAGTACCACTAGTCGTCGGAAAACGTTCAAAACGTGAGCTTCTCGTCAGTGGGTCTGCCGTCGTTTGCTGCCATACGATGACTTTGCGTCGTACTCGAGTTGATGCTCTAGACGGTCCTGGTTCGCTCTCAAACGCATTTCCGGTCACGAGACTTCCGATGGATGCTTGCTTGGCAGCAACTCGGGAATACCACTTCAGAGTTGACCCTTGCGAAATCGGGATGTGAAAGCGTGAGAAGCGTGATCGGCCTGGTTCCGACACCATCCTCTGGCGCTCAGTGAAGCGATCCCAGCGTGAAGTTCTTTCTGGTGCTGTTTGTGTTGTGGTTTTCCAGAAAGTTCCACTTGGTGTCAGCGACAATGAGCTGTTGGTGCGACTCACACCACGCCTTCTTGGAGTACCACCAATCGTCGGAAAACGTTCAAAACGTGAGCTCCTCGGCAGTGGCTCTGCCGTTGTTTGTTGCCATACGATGACTTTGCGACGTGCTCGAGCTGATGCTCTTGACGATTCCGGTTCGCTCTCAAACGCTTCATCGGTCATAGGACTTCCAATGGATGCTTGCTTGGGAGCAGCTCGAGAATACCACTTCAGAGTTGATCCTTGCGAAGTCGGCCGGGAAGTCGGGAAGCGTTGTCGACGTGAAATACGGCTGACTGAGCCGGATCTAGTGTTCTGCCAATAAACTGGCTTGGAATTGTACCCAATGCGTGGAGTTTTTGTGGATGCAGTAGATACTGACTTTGAACGTGGCCTTATTTTCTGGAGTGATGAAAGCGTTGGTGCCATATACGATGGCGTACCTCGGGGCGCGCGTGAAGTACCAGTCAGGGCCGTTCTTGTTCCCGATTTTGTTGGTGTCAGTAGTGCGCGATTTTGACACAGCGGTGGCACGGGCGATTTACGAGAATTGGGAAATTTCGGTTTCGGTGGTAGACGCTGATGTGGCGAGAACGTGAGCTTGGCTGCGTTGATACCGTATTCCTTGCTTGCCACATGACTGGCACTCAAGCCAGCTGATGACAGCGCAGAGCTCGTCCCGCCGGTGGTTGAAGGCATAGTGGCGCCGTTTACTGTAAACAGTGACGTACCAGACGTTTCCTGAAAATGCACATCCGGAATAGGTCAAAAATCGGGGAAATGATTTATGAAATTTTCCCAGCTCATTCTTTGCTAACAAAGAATGAGCTGTTGTCATACCACCCGTAGGTAGATATAACAAGGGGTGAGTTTTTTCTAGCTGAAACTGCCACACGTGTATAGTATTATGAGTTACATGATAGCACGAATAAGAATTCGTACCCAAAAATTTTCCACAGAAACTACTTAACTGGATTTGGGAGAGTTTGGGCTTCCGCTGGCAGAACGAATTGTAAACTTAGCTCTGATAGTAACTCAAGTAGAAATTCGTGTCAATACTGTCTCGCCAGCTTCAGTCAATAGATGTGCGTATGAAACGAATAAGTGAAACAACAAAAGTTTCTCCAATCTACCGGATAGTCGGTGCAGGGATCTCATGTGTTAATGATGTTGCTGGGATGCTTCCATACTTATGGCGCAGTTGTACTAGGCCCTTCCAGCTGCTTGCCTTCAGTTAGTATCCATCGTTTCTTTGATGTGTATTCGCCATCTTCTCGGGGGTGGATGAAACGGCTAATATATATATATTTTTTTTATGCATTTTTTGCAGCAATGCAATGCGAAAAACGCATATTGACGAGAGGTTGTCTGTGTG